GGAGGGTAGGTCCATTGTCTTTGGTGGGGTTGTTATTATGCTTAAAGTTAAGCACACACTTAAGTGTTTTGCTGGATCATGGCCTAAGGCAGAATTTCTGTTGCTCAAAACAGTTGGAAAACAATGGATCTGGTCCTAAATAGGACCCAGCCCCCACAATCACTATTGATATCAAATAATGAAAGAATGCTAAACCTTCTAAGTATAGACACAAATCAGAGCACAGTGATTAGTAACAGAGCAAAGTTACAGACTCAGCTACAGTTATTAAGAAATGATTATGGAAGTATATACACAGTTTACAATTATTGAGCAACAACAATTAAGTATTTCCTGGTTATGAAATGAACCTGAAAAAGAAAGTCAAGCTGAAGTATATCTGTATCCATGAGATTTTAGTGGATTTTCATTTGATAAACATATAGGAAAATGCTCTTAGCCCTCGCACAAAAAACAATGAAATACATATGGACAGGCTTGGTCATTAAGATGTTTCATAACATAGGATAGAGGTATTAGCAGAACACTGGTCCCATTCCACACTGTCACAGTCCTGGTAGATCTCTCCCAAAAAACTGCTGTGCTGGCTCCCAGTCCACTGCGTCTCTGTGCTCTTAAGCTTCATTTTACTCAAGTGGGCTGCTGCACAGTTTATTCCTTTGGCATCACTAACCTATTTCTTGGGCACAGACTCTCTGTCTCTTATCCTTCCCTTGAAACGGGGCCACATAGCCCAACTGCTAGTGCTAACCTTCCAGACTCTCCACCAACGCTTGTCACCCCCTGAGGGCAGTCACTATGCCCTCCCAGCCTCAGGAGGCATGGGTCGCCTATGCTCTAATGGTAATATGTAGAGGACAAGCTAGTTGGCTGATAAAGTATCTTGGTTTCTGTGAAGTTAACAGTAAGTCCAAACATTTAATATGTTTCACAGAAGCAATCAAGAGTGAGCTGGAGCTCTTCCATTGAGTGAGCACACACTACACAATCATCAGCATATTAAAGATCAGTAATGAAGGTATTGGTTATCTTGTATTTGGAACATATCTTGTTGATGTTAAAGAGATTCCCATCCGTGTGATATTGGATGCTGACTTCAGAAGGCAATCTAGTAGAAATGAAATGCAAAAATAACAATGAAAAATGACATACACAGACTGGCTTTGCACAGTATTTCTAAACACAACTAATCTTTACACAAATCTTCACAAAAATAATAAACCCTACAAGCATACTGGTAAAGAAGAATGCTAACAATCATTCCACTATGCTAGTCACTGCACAAATAGAACAAAAAGGTGCTTTTACCAACAAGTTTACTAACACAGGAGAAAGTAGATGGATATAAATAGAGTAGGAAACAGTGTAATAAGATAGAACAGCATGACAGGCTGGGGTCTCAGCACAGCAACCTAACCCTTGTCAATGTTCTTGAAGCTAAAATAGCAATGGAGAATTTTTAAGGAGGGATTTGAAGGAGATTAACGAAATAGCTTTCCCACTGTCCACAGGGAGTTCCCCTAAGTGCGAAGAGCAGAATGGGAAAAGCAGAAAGATGCTTGTCTGAAAATGTATTAAGTGACAGATGGAGGCAGGTATTGTAGTTTTATGAGAGATGGGTGTTGATGCCTCGGTAGTATAGGAGAGATGACAAGATAGGTCATGAGAGACCTTGAAATTGAAGACATCTTACGTTGGATATGTAAAGGGCTAACTAGTGGAGAACTGCACAGAATGGGCTGACATAGTCAAAAGACAAGCTAGGAAAATTATGTTCACAGCAGCAGTAGCTTTCTGGATAGATATGACCAGGGGAAGAATTAAATTGTTGGGCCAAACTTTCAAAGAAGCTGGAAAAACTGAGTAACAGCAGGAAGAAAACCTAGCTTTATGGACAGGATGGATAGGAAAGACTGGGCTATACCTTATGGATGTTATACAGGAAGATTTAGACCTAGCCTGGATGTGAGGACCTCAAGAAAAGTCTGAGTCAAAAATGCAGAGAGGCTACAGTCAGGATGGTACTGTTTTCCATGAAGAAAGACTGTGAGAAGTAGAGCTTGAGAGGGAAGAAAGATACAGAAGACTGTTTTAGCCATGTTGAGCTTCAACTGATAGCTTGATATCCTGAAGAATATGTCAAAGAAATGTCCAAGATTTTAATTTGGTGAGAATGTCTGGGGTTTAGAGGTACATCTGTGAGCTGTCAACCTAGAAATGGTAGTTAAAATAGGGTTTTTTGAATGAGATTACTCAGAGATAAGCGTAAAAGGAGAAGAAAAGCAAACAAAAGACAGAGCCATATGGAACCCACAAAAAATGCTGAAAACAGGACATGCTAGTGAGAAGACAGGGCTAGGCTATAATGTAGTTTCACCTGTGTCTCCCAGCTCCAATGCAGGATGTGTGCAAGGAGTGGGAGACAGGATTTCACCTCTTTGGGCTTCATAGTTGCAATAGGTTTACATACATGTTTACAGTATCCTTCAAAAAATGACTGCTCCAGCCGTGAATATCTGTTGACTGTGAAGTGCCCCTTACTATAATCAGGGCCCTCCAGTCATACACTATACAAAGAATGTAGCTCAAGATCCTGTTGTTACCTGCTGATATTCACATCATGCTGCACTTTTGTCATGCCCCTTAAAAATGTGCACTCAAAGATTCTCTCTTCCCTGGGCAACTGTGCAACCCCATTGCCTTCAGCTGCGAGGGCAGAATCTGACTATGGTCTATGCCAAGGGTATCAAATCCATCTGGCCCCATGGGATTGATGGGACATGTGGGGCCAGTCTGTGGGCTAGATAGGTCCCACAGACTGACCCTGCATGCCAGATCCAGTCCACAGGGCTGGTCCAATGTAGGCGCTGCATGCAGTACATGCCCTGGACCAGCCATGCATATTGCTTGCAGCATACACCATCCCCAGCATGGCCCCAGACATGGCACATGGCTTATTGTGCATGAGGCCAGACAGGGACATACACTGCATGCAGGACTTGTGCCAGATTGGTTCTGCAAGCTGGATCTGGCAAGGGCAGCCTGTCTGTGGGCCCAAACCAAACTGGACCTAGATCCAACATGCAGGGCTAGTCCAGTGTGGATGCCACATAGAGCACGTGCCCCAGGCTGGCCTTGTGCCATGTGCAGATGTGCAACCTGTGCTAGACAAGCTCTGTGCACTGCATGCAGTATGCAGGACTGCGGGGCAGCACTGTGCTCTGGATAATACAGCTCCATGGGCTGGAGCTTTGACATTGCTGGTTTACATGATCCAAGAAGTGTCACATTTTTGACAACTACTAGTTGTCATGTATACAGTCAATTGTACTAGAGCTGGTAATGATGACTCTGTAGCTAATCTTTCCATGATGACCAAAGGATAAATTAAAATGGAAGAAAATCTTCTGAAGTTATCTTTGCGGTTTTCTTCTCAGTCCCTCCGCAGTGGGAGCTAGATTTGAACTTATACCTAGAGGAGCCTGTATACATGGCCTCCAAGCCTTGTTGATCCATGTGAGTAAAACAAAAGCCAGGGCTTTCTAAGAAGAAACTTTATGCCTTTTAGCTGTTTCTGAGTTACACCTCCTACTCTCCAACAGTTCTTTCCATGACTCCTCTCTCAGAAGTTGAATCCCTCTTTGTAGGAAAATGGGGAGATGTAAGATGGTCTCTGGGTATATCACATCCCCTCCCTGACTTTCATGGGATGGGTGCATCTACTTTCAGCCAGCCCTCCAGTTGCCTACTTCTCCCCAGGCCCACCCAACTGCCTCCCCTCAGGCCATTGCCTGGATCTCTGGTTCTGAAGGGGCCAGAGAAGTGGGAAAGGACACACTGACATGGAGACGACACAGCCCCTTTCCACATGGCACATAGACAGCCTACATACAGGAGGCCCCCTGTCCAAGTACATGGGCCTCACAGGCACCAAAGAACTTCTGCTTAGCAGTTGTGCCTTGTGTTTTATTACAGACATATCCATATCCATTATCCCAGAAGGGAAAGTCATCATTCCATAGCTGAGTTAATCACTGCAAAAGCATCAAGTGCCATTTATAATCTCAAACAGTAACCTCAGCTAGTTTCCCTGCCTTTGCAGGCTCAGAGACAGTGTACAGAACTCCTCGTGAGTCAATATATTGCCCTCATATGCCTGGTGAAATTCATGTCCACTTGGCAAGGTGGGGGATCTGTGAAAGGGTCCAGCATGGAATTCATTTTTTTAAGATTCATCACGCTGGTGAAGCTCATTTATTACAATATTTGAGGCAAACTAAAACTGAAATATCCCAGGCACAGCCAAAGTGAATTTGCTCCAGCTCTTCACCTTCCCATTCATGTGCTTGATACCTTTCTTTATTACGGACACAGAGGACTGTACCTCCAGTTTGGGTTTTTACTATTACTTTCAGAGATTCTGGCATAAAAGCAATTTTGTTGCAGACAGACATTATTTCACCTCCTGATGTTTGAGGTGACCTTGAGAAGTGTGAATACAATCAGCAAAGTCAACACGGCTGCCAAAAAGTGGCCTGGCCAGATGGAAACCACTCATTCTTCTGGCTTCTGACTCATGCACTTTGTGTGGGTGGCAAAAAAAAAACAAAAAAAAAACAACAAAAAAAACCACTCTTAGAGCAAAAGGAATGGGAAAGAATCTGTTTCTATATTTAACCACAAATAATAGGAAGAGGGTGAGCTTTTGGGTTAAGTTGTAAATAACAGTGAAATGAAATCATCTCTTAGAAATTCATGACTATATCATTACTGCCTCCTGAGAAAGTGCATGACTAACTAAGACTGTGGTTTGGAAAAATTTTGCCCCTGTAAAAAAATAGTTTTTTCATTACTGCAGACCACTGCAGTGATCTTTCCAACTATAACAATTTACTTATTAACTTTTACTTGTTGCTACAGTATGATGCTTTTTAGCATTTATATTTTTAATTGCTAATATAGAACACTAATAATATTTTAGGTATTCAAGCCCTAATTCCAGGGGCTTACTATTAAACTGAATCAGGTCTATAAACCCTGGAATCATTTTTAGCTTCTGAGAAATGCCACTTAGGTAATCTTCCCTGTTAGACGACAATACATAGCAGATATTTTTATTATTTTTAACATTAAGGGTCTGCTCCAAAATTAATGGAAATCAGTGGGAGTCTTCAGTGGGCCTCAGATCAGATCCCAACTGCACTTTATTATTCCAAATTACTATTACCAAATCTTTATAATGATTAAACTCTGAAGAAAGAAGAAGCTAAACATAGAATATGTGAACTACAACCTGGCAATCTCTTGGAAACTGAGAACATTGACAACACACTTGCTATTGATAGAATTTTGTTGCAATATTTCTACTTTTAATTTATTTGGATAAAATACATTTTGCTTCTGGAGAACATCCAAACTTGTTAAGCAGCAGAAATGACCTAGTCTGGGAAGGAATCACAATCATGCATGAGTATTTGAGTCTCTCCCTCTTTTTTCTTTAGTAGTCTACAAGAAAATATTTGCTGGCAGTAGGGATTTTTGCACTGTGAGGTAATGCCTTTTTTAACATATGCAGAGTCATCTTCTTGTTTCTCAAATCTTTTGAGACTTACAGATGTGCTTGAAAAGTAAAAAATAGAGACTTTCAAGTTCTTGCTTTTAATTCGCATAATCTAGGCTTTTAAAACAATGAACAATGCTCAAAATCAAATTACGCAGTTTTTTGTTTAATTACAAAAGGAGCGGAATCTTAAAATTAGGTAAGTAGAACAAGCTACCAGTGAACATATAACATGACAAAGTGTTCTATTAAAAATATATAGTTGTGATTATATGTTCACTGTATATTCAAGCATTGTATGCATGTCCAATATAGGAATGATCAGTTCATGCCAAGAAACTAGACCCACTTCTAAACAACAGCTGTCATGAAATAACAGGATGTCTAGAGCCACACCAAAGGATAGCTTGTACTTACTGGCTGCCATTGTACCACCTGTTTTGAGAAGAAAGGTAGTGAGCCAAAAACAAAGTTCATGGCAGATGGAAGGTCCCAGGCATCCACTCTATGGTCACAGTGAAGTAACTAAACAGCTTAAAGTGTGAAACCGTTTTGTGACCAGTGTTGCACCATTGGACATAACATCTGACAGGGTGCAACTGAGGTTATGGAAGGAAAGATTACATGCAATCAGATGCTCTGAAATGGACCTGGAACCCCCAGGAGGACCTTCTTAGGGGGGCTGATACAGACTGGCCAACATGGCAATGCCTGAATAGCCTGCAAACACAAACTGGAAGATCAAAAACAAACATGATTAAATGGGGTTACTCTAATGACAAATATATGTGAGTGCAATGAAGTGCAGACAATGGAGCACCTACTCATTTGAAGACTCCTTGGTGAGATCTGTCTGAAGGAGCACCTTGCTGCAGCAATGGGACGAGCCATTGCTTGTGCATGATTCTGGAAAAACATATAGTTAATGACAAGGGCATGGGAAGATGAAGAAGAAAAAAAAGAAGCAACATAGAAGAAATGGAGTCAAGACTCTCATGCTATCTCGTGAATTCTGCATGTTGGTACAATAGGAATATAGGACACATAAAAGAAGCATAGGAATTCCTGCTATATATAAAATCCTACTGCCATCGCCCATATGGTTGTAAGCTCTCCTTTAGAGATTTGACAAAAGAACATATTAAAATGGCATGGTTATATAAAACATTGCATTTCAAAATTAAGTGTATGCTTCCAAAATGGATTTCAGCACATAGACAATTTGTTCAAAAATTACTATGAAGAATCTCAAACATTATGCCGTGTATTTCTGCTAATTACCAGAGTGCCATTAAAGCTTATAGTACCATGTCTTTTACACAGCACAAATATTATATACATTATCATATACAATTATACCTTACTCCATCATGAATCCCAATAAAGTTGTGGGACTATTCCAGGTATGAGATAGTACTTGCTGTGAATGAGGTTACAAGGAAAGGAAACCATCAGCTAATTTTTTATTAATTAGAAGTATTTGAAAAAGCGTATCAAAGAAAAGCACAGGCAGACATGAAGCACTATAATACTCAAAGTGTTTTTAGTTATGTTCTCCTGTGAGAATAAGCTCAGTTATACTAATTCTACTGGCAGGAGGGAAAATTAAGAGCAATATAAAATACACTCAGTGTTTTCTGCCAAGTCAACTCCTTTGGAACCATTTTAAAGATCTGAAAGTCAAGTATTTAATGATTTGCTTACTTCAAAAGAATCAATGTATTTTTTTAGTATTCATTTTCCAAATCAATAATTGTGCATCACCTATAGAACTAAAGAAACTGAACTTCTAAAGTACATTCCCATAAAGCACTCACCATGGTTTCAGCATTTATAACAGACTTTCAGCAGCCACAAAGTTGGTTTCACACAAATTGTAAAAACAGTAGATTTCATAGTGGGAGAAGGCTAAAGTGCAGTGCCTAATAATAATTTATTCATGCTGAGCTACTTTGAGAATGTTTGGTATACCATCTAATTATAATAGCTCTCCACTAAGAATATCTCTGCTTGATTGCAGTGTATTTCTAAGAGTACAGAAAAAGTGTAATTCTGTAAACTCAGGGTGGGATCATTTGTCAATAGGCACATCACATACGAAACAACACTTCCCATTTACTCAAAGGAGACCCTGGATTAAACCTGCACTCCTTCCACGTTAGTTTCAGGTCTACAATCCATTACTGGAGGGAAGTCTGCAGTATTCCAAAGCATCCCATTTATAGTGCAAATCAAATAGAGGGTGATGTTTCTTCACTGTGACAGTTTCTCAATTCATGGCAGGTTTCTAGTAGTATTGAATCAGATCTTTCTCTCTCTACTCATGTAAATGGCCCAAATTAATAGCTTTATTGTTCTAGAGGAACTGGATTCTGGTTGAGGCCTCCTGAGTAGCACCTGGAATTATGCTAATCCTCCACCTGACTTGGTCAAATTCTGGAGATGAACTTGGAAGCTACAACGTAAGAAGTGAGGATTGACAGGGGACTGATGTACTGATGAGGAAGCCTGGATGCTTTGCTTCAGGAAGAGTTTGATTGCATACATTTAATGCTGAACCTTGGTTTTCTACTCTTCAGACACCAAAAAAGTTAAAGAACTTGGAGAAGTATCTGAACAGCAGGCAGAACACGAGGGTGATACATCGTTCCTTGGGCACTGTGGGGAAGAAAACAGAGTTTCAGGGTCAGCAGATTAGTCCAATCCTGCATGACCTGCTAGATAGAAGCTTCGCCTTAATTTTGGCTGGCTACAGGGAGAGGAATATTACTCTTTTACTCATATCTGCATGCAGTTCTAAATGAATACAAATGCATTGTGTACAAGCCAAACTTTACATTAGTTCAGCCTTTTGCTGGGAAATGGTACCAGTGGCAATGTAATTTGGCTTGTTGGCTCTATTTGATGATTAAGGATGAGCTGGTTCCTGTTAGAAACAGCACTCTCGTGAAGAAAAAGATGGGCATAAGTGCTTCCTTTTCCACATGACAAATACTTAAGTTGATTCTCAGATTGCTAGGTCACTGAAGATCAACAATCTGACTTAACTGCTTGATAGCCAGAGGGACGAGAGCATGCACTCATGCGTTATTTTCAATGCTCAATAGCACCTAAAAGAGTCAATCTGGTCAAGGCCCCATTAGGTTAGGTCTGATATGACCTTAGAGCAAATGCCAGTTTACTAGAAAAGACAAGGAATAACCAGGGGATGAAACAAACAAACAGGCAGAGGAGAGAAAGGAGGACAGGGAAAAAACAGAATAATAGGATGTTTTTAGCATAGACTAGCAATGTGCAAACAGTGTACTGCATTCCCATCTGTGAGGAGGTGGTATTCTTATTTTCTTCCAAAACACCCAGCACATGTTGTATAGTTTCAAAACTCCCCCCTTCCTAGAGTTTGGCTTTATTAAAAAATGAGCATGAAAGGAACAATAACCTCCAACCCATAGTTTGCCCCCAGCTTTGGCTGTTCCTAGACTTCTTCCCTTAGGACTACTCAGCCTTGGATTTCTCTTCCCAGAAGGCACTCCCACCTTCCCTTCTACCGCAAGTGGATTCATAAAATGTACCACACACAGTGAGTCAGCACAGCTCAGTAGACCTCCACCCTTAGCTAAGAATCCAGCTGCCTTGTTATACACCTCCCGCCCCTGTCACCACTAAGACAATGTCTACCCTAAAGAATTGTAAGGTAACAATTCTCAAGGATTCAGCTGGGCTGAGTAGCCCCACTGAGAATCCTGGTCCAGACAAACCTTAATGTTGCTTTACAACTCAAAATGGCAAGCTACATTAATGCTTGGATTCTATTGGGTTCTCTTTTATTTTTCATTAAGACACTTCCCCATATTTAAGGGACTTCCTTGTAGAAGTTACTAGGTAAGTGTTATTGGGGTGACTACATTTTTGCAGGATTAGGTCCTTATTCTAAAAACCTGCCTTTGTCAAGGAATTCCTGGAGGGTGGAGTGAAAAACAATACCTGTTTAATAGTATGAAGCAACGGTGTAAGTCTAGGAATATCCCAGGTATATCACAACTGAAATGACAAGAGTGAAAGGGAGTAAGTAGAAAATAATTAACTGGGATGGAATTAGGTCACGATGTTGGGGTTTAACATCTCCACTGTTGCAAACAGTGCAGTGGGTATTCAGTGGTCAGCTCTGTGCTGGATCTCACGTACAGCACTTCCAGCCACACAGTTGCACTTAAAAATGTTTCTAAACTGATGTAATAGAGAGTGACACTTCCCATGATCTCACGCAGCAACTACCTGTGGGATAATTTCCATTCAGGGATTGACACAGACCAACCCTCTTTAGCTTGTGAGATCTGAGAGGGTCACAGTCCTAAGCACTATTTCATGCAAGCAATTTATTATTATTATTATTTTATTTGAAGATGCATAACATAAATGAAATTAATAGTATATTAGAGAAACTTTGCAATCTGAATGATTGACCTCTTGTTACTGACTTCTACAATTATGTCCCATTCAATCTCTGATCTCATTTTTCTTGCATTATCAACAGGAAAAGTAGCGACTATGTAGAAAGTTTCTTGGACTGCCTCTATAAGAGTGACATTGCTGCTGATATAAAAAAATGTTTACTCTATTATAGTTGTATTATTTTACCTGTCAAAAATACTTACAAAAGTGATACATATGTATATCATAATCCAATATTTAAACAGTCATGATCTCCTGTAGATAGGCAATTGGGTTTTGATCTAAACAGAATAAAGCTTTCAGAATGTATTGATATTGTTTCAAAGCATGAGGATGCTTGTCATGCTTTGATAGCCATGTATATTGATTTGAAAAAAGCTTTCAGAGTTATAGATCATTATTTATGAAGGTTAAAACTGTTGAATTTGGGCTTTATTTTAAATGTAATTAACTGGTTTTAGTTTGGCCTGTTTAACTGATCTCTGCATAGTAAATTGCAAGATTTCAACTTGATGTTTTCCCAGTTGGTTTTGATGTGTGTGTAAGCAAAACCCAAGGGTCAACTCTCAAACTCTTATTTTTGTGGTTTGCAAAGAGGTGGCTTCCCCCAGCTTTAACTCAATCCATACAAGTTGCTGTGGGTGTTGGGTCTTGCCTTTATTCACAAATAGAATCCAGAATCCAGGCCAACAATTCTCCCTAGGTTTGGCTCAAAGATTCATCTCCAAGGAACTGTTTGGTCTTCTGGGCTAGGTACAGACATTCAAAAAGCCCAAGGTAGAATCAACCTACATTACGTAGCTTTCTGTAAGCAGCAGAACACACATTTGCTCCTTCATGGGGGCACGGGGAGCAAATCTGAGACCAGACTCAGCCATATTCAAACCAGTCTCTGTCTGCTGAATTTCTGTTCTGTTACAGGTATAGACCGGTTTTGTGTGCCAAACTTCTGTTTTGTGATGGGTATAGACCAGTTTCTGATCACTTATACTAGTAAAAGTGTAATGTCTGTATCTAGCCATGAGGTCCCCTCTGAGAAGTCATTACTCTTCAATGCAGGGATCCTCAAACAGGATGCAACAGCACCCTGGGGTACCTTGTGATACTTTTAAGCAAGCTGCAAGGTACCACATAGTATTTGCACTGTTAAGTGTTCAAACTCATGATTCATAAGATAAACCCAGAGACTTAACATAGGAATCAACAGTGTAAAAAATATTCTGACCTGCTATGGTCTTTCTGAGCATTTTACAGCATAGGAATTGTTCTAATATTTTCCAATAGCCAAAAAAAATGAGTGAAAGCTAGAAGCTAGCATTTTCTGAGGCGTGCCTTGAGGCTAACAAGCAGTGCTTTGAGTCTAAAAAATTTGAGAACTCTGCCTTAGTGTAACACGGTACCTGAAACAGTGAGTCAGCAACACTGACATCACATTTCAAGCAGAATCATCAGTTGTTAGCAAGATAAATTTTTCAGGCAGCCACTACTAACATGCTGCATAGGTCTTTACCGGTGAACTTCCAAATGTTTGCACTGTTTTCATGTTTTGCTATTTATTGTTGGCATAGTTACTGTATGACATACCTTCCAACTGAACGAAAAAGGCCTGATCTTGGATAGAAATGAAAAGATCATTGATAATTACAAGTAAAGGACTATCTGGAGGGTTCAGGTTGATACTGAATAAAAGAATGAGTAAAATAATGGACAAGATTTTTATGTGAAAAGTCAAACCTATTGTCTTTAAACTGAAAAGTGTGCTGATTTCTCCATTATTTTTTAAAATGCATTTTAATTGAAAGAAGAGACGTGGTTAGCATTCAAAATCAAGACGAGCTGCAGGAAGGTGCTTAAAACAACCAACAAGATGCAATGATATATGAGAATGACAACAGAGTTTTATATAATAAGGACTCAACCCTGCAAAAATCTACTCACCCCAGTAATGCTTACCTAGTAACTTCTTCTCTAGGACTAGGCACATGAGAAACAGCTTACAAGACAGAGTGCTTGACAGACACAGGCTAGGGACAGAAGTTACACCTAAACCAGTATAAGTGATCAGAAACCAGTTCAAATCTGTAATGCAAGAGAAGTTCAGTATACATAAAACACTTTCAAAATGGCTGAAACCAGTTTAAGATAACCCTGGACGGATGTAATACCAGACTTAACTGATTTAAGTTAAATCAGTTTATCGAACTTATTTCCTGGCTCTTTCCTGGCATCCCTAGTCATTAATCTCCTGACATATAAGGCCCCATTTTTATATTAGCTGACTTGTGGTCCATAGTTCATTTACTGGAACAGTGGCACAGAACAGGGGCTGCAGAAGCTTAGAAGTTATGTTTTGAAAAATCCAAAGCTTGTTGCAATTTTTACACTGGATCAAGACTGCCAGTTAATGCTGCCAGTCCAGCCATGTACTCCTGATGCACAGCTAGCCAGCCAGAAGAGCACAGTCAAATACTGATCAGTATCTGGAAGGAGTACAGTACACGATTTCAGCCAAAGTGGTCAGAATACTACTACAATTTGATTTTGCAGCAGCTTGCCAAGCTGAGCAGCTACCAGACTGGGATTCAGTGCCAAGACTATACAGAACAGTGTTCTAACAGAAGGCAAAGAATGCAAACTCAAGTCTAGCTAAGCTGTGCTTCATGCTTCTGATGCATGGAGCTGGACAAGGAACTCAGTGCCCCAAAACACAGAACCTGATACTTCACAGGGCTGCGCTGTTTTACGGAAGAACTTATCTTTCGAGGGCAGGAGGAAGAAAAGACTCTCAACAAAGTAGTCTGAGGATGTGACAACTGTGCAAAGCCCCTGCACAGTTAGAGGCTTTGACCTGTGGCGAACCCAGAACAATCTCGTCAAGAAGGTGTTCTTCTGGATGTCCTGGGAGAATTCTCTGCAGTGAACCTGCAGAGCAAGATGTCAAGGAGCCAGGACCTCAGTTCACTAAGTGCTGTCCACAGACTGTATTATTGTTTTGAAGGGACTTTTGGCATAAACTAGGAAGGATGTCTTGGTCAGTGAATAAATTAAGCAAGACCTGAACTTCCTTGACCACTTTTGTTGGCCAAATTTGCTAAACTGGAATGTCACCAAAAGTCAGTATAGTCCCTACATTTCTAGGGGCAGGGGCAAGCAGTGGCCAATTTTTTGTAGCAGAGTTCCCATTGGCTGATCTCAGTTTCTCCTAGGATAATTCACAGAAGTCCTCAAAGGCAAGTCCAAGCACTGCTTCTTCCTGCTGCCCTGTAATAGGTGGGAAGGGGAGGAGATGGACAGAGGAGCCAGCTCACAGGCATCTTTCAAGTGGTGGTTACTTAAGCAACGTATGAATGTTCTTCCTGATATATCCCCTGCCCTGGGAGATGATACTTGCAAATTTTTCACGCAGCAGCAATCCTAGCCAGTTGGTTAAATTAGGTTGCAGGGCAAGCCTTGCTAGGCTGTCCCAGGCCTTTCCAGTCCATTTCATGCAAGGCAGCTGACTTCTAAAAAATCTCGCACAGAATCTGAGGGAACGCCCTTCATGCACACAGAGACTGGCTTGTGCCCAGGCCCTTCAAACCATCCATGCCCCCACAGTGCACCACTAACAGGCAAACTGGTACTCACTAGAAGTTAGACACCTTTTAAATTAAACAAAAGAAACCCCCAGACAACAATTTACCAGGAGGTGATCTGTGGCTGCCGTGGTAGGTTGTCACCTGCTTCCTTTGGACAGTTCATCTAAAAATGGGCAGAATAAAAACTGCAGGTGATTGTTTTGTAATGTAACGTGGGAAGCATTCAATTCTAAAATTAAAAAAAAAAAACCTCTGGAGGGATGACCTGCATAACCTATTGCAAGTACTTCGACATGCCTAGTGTCTCACTTTCATATAAGAGCATGGCAGGAGAGGCCCAAAAGGAATGAAGTGTACAGTGTCCAAGATGCAGAGGAGAGGTACAGAATCCCAGAAACTATAGTGCAAATAAGGTCAGGAACATGACTGGGAGCAGAGATAAAAAACTATGGAGAAGAAGACGCAGTGTTGAGAACTATGAGGGCACCCGTTCACAGTGGTGTGAACAGGAAAGAGCACTCACGGGTGCATTTAGAGATTCAAGATTCTGTGCTAAATTTGCTGCAGAAAATGGAACTGGGCACAGACAGACTGAGATCATGGCACAATGTGCCACCCAAGGGTCAAAACTGTGCAAAGCCAAGCCCCTGCACAGAATACTGTACAGCACAAGGGCACACATCTATCTCCACGCAGCAGTCACTCTTTGTTCTTAATGTGGTACCATGACCAAGTTCCTGCTTCTCCATGAACTGTAGACAATGAAGGAGGCAGAACCCACAGTCATTCTATGGGACTTGAACTGTTTCTGCAACTGCTGGGGCCAGGGCCATCCCTTGTAGGGGGCAAATTGGGGCAACTGCCCCAGGCCCTGGGCCCCGTGCTTTGGGAGGCCTCGCAGAGCCGGGCCGGCTTCACGTCCAACTGCTCATCACTCCGCCGCCGCCGCCACATCTGGGCCCTGCACAGGCTGATTTGCACTGGGCTCCGCACCCTGCTATAGTCATCTCTGGCTGGGGCACAACAATCCCCTCTCACTCCTTACTTGCATTGTACCCCACCACATATACAAGAAAAAGCAAAAGAGAAAAACAGGACAGGGGAATTCAAGAAGATCTCACTAGCACTTCTGCTATCTGTATTCTCCAAATGTGCCTTCTCCTCTTGAATAATTTTATATACATTTGGAACAGTGTTATCCAAACAATTTTGGACAGACTACTCTTGCCTCCAGCATTTCAAATGCACACCCTACTACCATCCTGCCGCTCCTAGAGGGTAGCTGAATGTTCTGCAGTTGAGTGCCCCATGTTGCCTGGGTATGGCTTTGTAAGCTATAGCAAAAAAGGATAGACAAAATGCCCAGAATAATGGTAGGCACCCACACGACTTTCATGACCATGTCACTGGGAGGGAATAAATTATCAGCCTGTCCAAGAATGTAAATATTGATCACCTCAAAATCCTGGCTGCAGAATGTTGCCACATTGGTGCTCTTGAGTCTAGTCCTGTGGTCCACCAAGCCTTGCAGAATGAGGGAGTATAACCCCCTGCCATTAACATTTTCACTGGCTCCTCCCGGAGAGCAAATTATGGCATACTGGTGCCAGCCAGCAGAGTAGGGAAACCCCATTCTCTGAAAGCCAGTTATTATTTTATATACATCCTTGTTACAGGCCCCCACCCAGCCTACCTTCACACCAGAGCCCAAGTGGCTGAGCCATAATTAAAATGATCGGCACCGTGTGGCCAGAGGAGCTGCTAATTGACCCGGAGACCAGGGGCTCAAAACAGGCCTGGCAGCCAGAGAGAAGGTGGGATACATCTGAGCACTGGGAATGGATCTGGATGTTTGCTCCACCACTGGAAGATGCTCAGCACTTCCTCTGCTGGCTGGCAAGCCTAGGGAAGTGCCACAACTGCACAGTGCAGGAGGAGCAGCCAGGAAAGACCCTGACACATCCCCAGTGGCCAGCTAAATGCTAGCCACACTCCCCAGGTGTGAAAGCCCTGGGTAAACATCTGAAGGCTCCCTCACTCCCAGAGCCCAGGGGACAGAAGGAATTGCCGGCTTTTCCAACCCCACTGATGAGGGACTCAGCACGGAGGCAGGCCCACCGTACACCATCAACAGAGAATCACCTGGGAACTCACAGGTCAGGTGGGACTGGGAGAGGGCTGCACGGCAGGTGCTGGATTGAGGTGGACCCTGACAGGGAGTCTGGCAGAACCCGCACACCCGCTGGGGCGACAGCGTACTCAAAGCATGCCAATGGGACACCGGACTCAAAGCGGGGGACTGGTGGGATACTGGGTCCCATATGAGCATCGCACACAACGCCACAGGACTGTGGCATACTAGGCCCAGTCACTGGATGGGAAAGACCCCTTGTAGAAAGCCAGCTCACTGGGAAGTCAATTCAGACCCAAGTGGGGAGTGCAGTGGGCACCTTCTTCTTTTGTGTTATTTTCTGCAAGCCAAACAAATAGCAGTGAGTATCTTGTGGTGCCTCTTTCACCAGCCCTCACTGCTGAGAAGGAAACCATGGCTGTATCAGGGCGCTGCCAAAGGCCATCAGAAAGCCCAAGCAGAAAGGGGTGGGGTTTAAGGGAGAAGGAGCTCCACAGAAGATGGGCCAAGGGAGTCACCCCTGAGCACCACCTCCAGAGGTACATTTGTAACAACAACAACAAGAAGTTGTCATGGCAGGCAATTAGGTCCATGTGAAATGCAAGGTGGCAGGATATACCCCTCCCCACCCCCGTTTGGTGGGTGTGGGGCTGTCATAATCTTTCATGCCAATAACCTGTACATAAAAAAAATTCATAACAGTATTACAGTTCTCGTGCTCCAGAAGTGCACTGTATGTTTAGACATAGGGTGGCAATCATTGCACACGTCACGTTCTCCAAATGTGCCAGGTATGACTCCAAATCTATTTCCAAATCTGTTTAGCCGGATTCCTAGTTAAAGGTAAGCGGTCTAATTGAGCTGTGCTGACTCGATGTGCTTCTTCACCACCCTCCACGTACTCTTGCCTTACCTGTCTCTAAACCTCCCAAAAGGCCTTCCAGAGATGCTGTACAGGGTATCATGCCATGACATAAGCACTTGCACCATTATTGAGAGCTACTCCTGCAATGAATCCATGGTTGGTGCATGTTAATACAAGCATGCTTAACAGAGCAGCATGTTGAGCTAACAAAGCTGCATGTGATGGTGGGCTGCATTAACTTTTGGTCTGATGAGGAAAAATAAGTTGTTCCATCAGTTCTTAGAAAGGCTCCAGTTTTAGGGGACCTGAAATATACCCTTCTACTCATAGCACTGCATATAAGCTCTAAGAGGCACAGCATGAATGCAAGTAAGCAGGCCACAGCAATGTTAAAACAGTATGGATAGGGGAAGGCTGGAAATCATGACTGGGGCTCACAGGCCAAGCTACAGAAGTGAGTGGATATCTGTCTTTCAGCTTACATTTACCAACAGTGCTCTATAAGGGGGATTATTATACCAATAAAGTGGGGGGGCTACTATCTTAAATCTTCAGGTAATTAGTCTCATATTTTATTAAAGGTAGAAATAGTGCTTGGTTTTTCTTTAAGGATTCCTACCAGCACACTTGGACTGAGGAATTCTGCATTACTTCAGTGCATCAGAACAAATGGCAGTAGTTTAAAATTTTCTGTTGGTCCTTTTTCAGATTTGCTATTCTCATCACATTTTCCTGTTTATTGCAACCCATGTATTCCTACTTTTAAATATCAGGGCTTGATCCACAACTATTCCTAAAGACCATGTTTTGAAATATTGTAATTGTAAACACAGCATGCAGTATACTTGGCATACTCTGGAGAGCCTGCCAAAATGTTAGTTTTAATGACCTATTAACAGACTTTAATATTTTATAGCACTGTGATTATGGAGATGTAGTTTATCAGAAATGTTGTTAAAATATTATATTTTATTACTGGATAGATAGATTTAGCAAGGCGCATTGATGTTTACTCTTCACTGTATTTTGTATTTAAAAAATTACACCATTACCATGGCAAGTCTGCAGTAAAAGCTTTCTCCTTGGAGCCCTCATGTAAACAAGATACACAGCTGATGAGGATACTGTGGTTTAGTTGATTGAGCAAAGGGCTGAGAGCCAGACACTCCTGAGTCCTAATCCTGGCTCTTTTACAAACTTGCTCTCTGGTCCCAGGTCACTCATCTCTTCTTTGGCTTTGCCATTTGGAACACATGTAGAATTACTTACCTGCTTCTATACAGGGGTAATATGAGGATTACAGAGTCACCATTTACCCGTACATTAATAATGTTAAGTGCTTGATATTATTAGTAACATAATGAGCACAGTTTTAAATTAATAACTATACACAATTTGCTAGCTGTATTTTTGAAATGCTGTAATTGTAACTGAACGTATATATCTCTCAAATATATAGTGTTTCATAACCTAAGCACATACTCATAGAGAAGCACTCAACACTTTTTTTTCCACTTGCAGTTATAAATGTAACATTCCCTCCTCCTGGTCCCTTCTTTGGATCACTTTCTAGTTTTTGGTCTCTTAGAGTTAGACGAAATATATGATACTAAACTTCTCAGGTCTCATGTCAGTAATATAAAATGTGAGTACAGACTTATGTTCTATCCAGTACTGAGTGCTGTGAGTAGAAATAAAAATCAGACATCTCTTTCAACAGTATACATAATAAATTCTCACTGTAAATAAGATGCACATGTATACAGTTGGGACTAGGCTGTTTCCATTGATTTAAACAGCTAAAATCACACTGACATGAATAACAGAAGGACTGAGCCCATTTTAAATAAAGTAAAAAGTAATTTCTGATAACATAAATGTCGAGTCTTGCCAGGAGTTTGTAGGCAGTAATAGAAGATGTGCCCATACAACTCTTAGTACAAGACCCCATACAGGCTGAGGCTTTTAGGTGCTAGTGTAATGGAAAATAATAATTAGAAGTTATTTTTTTTTCTAGTGTCCTCCTTTAAATTAATCCAAGTTCAGTCCTGGTAGAAGTGTGCACAATTTCCAATGAGCAAGGGTTTGTAGCACTGGTTCCATAACTCCATTTGTTTTATGGAATTGTATCACAGTTAGCACGTTGGTCTGCTAAGATTTATTTTTTTCAGTTGTTCATAATTCATCTATACTCCCTATAGCTTAAATCTGCAGCCTGAGCTGGTGAGGTGATGGGAGCAGCTCTTAGAGGCTTGTGCTTGAGGCAGACATGCCTGGGGGAACACTGGGGACTGTACATGTGGAGCCGTCTGCCATACCCCTTTTTTATAGGGCACACTGTGCTCCTTGTCCTCACACTGGGGTCAGCTCTGCTAACCACTAAGAAAGGAAAAAGATGCCATAATCCTAACTTGCCCACTCCCTCTCCCAAATGGGTTTGTAGTCCTAATGTCTAGGTTACTTTCCCTTAA